ATACCTTCGAGTGATTGTAAGTTTCACAACCACATGACCATAGCTGTTTTATTCACCAATTTACAGCCAGCGGCTACTGTATAGTGGGCACTCAATAAATATTTGTTAAATAAGTGAATAAATAAAATCATATGTGAGTGTGAGATGAACCACGCCCCCCCACCCCCGCCCCACATAGCAATACGGTCAAAAATATCAACTAGAAGAGAATGGAGTCTCTGCCATTGTTCCCCGCTTGTCTTTCATTGTTATCAATCACTGCTGCACTCAGCCGGGTCTGGAAGCAGTACTGAAATGTAGCTAATGTGATGGAGAAACGGAATTTTTATTTTTGCTTAATCTTAATACATTTATATCAAAATAGCTGCATGTGGCCAATTGCTTCTATATTGGACAGTACAGCTCCAGGGGTGCTGTCAGATGGTATGGCGTGCTAGGTTGTTTGGATTAACCCGCGTCATAAAAACAACTAAATATGCTGGTTTTCTTTCTTTCTTTTTTTTTTTTAATTTGAGTCTTCTTAAAAGCATCAGAGAGCCGACAAGATAGTACAAATTGTCAAGAAATTATCAAAGAACTGATAAGAGGTGGGTACTCACAGAGGTGAACTGAGCACTGAAACTGCTTCTCCCTCAAGGGCATTTGCCGAATTTGGCAAACTTAAGTTGTAGTTTTCGTGACCTCTCAGTGAGATAGAAACAGAAAACAAAGTCCAGGACCCACCCAAGGTAAAGACTCTTCTAAGAGATCCACCCCTCTGTAAAGCTGGGACCCCAAAGGGCTACACTCTTGGTGAAATGGTGACCCAGACAGAATCTCTATAACCAGGGCACTGGTCTTGCACATTATCTAGGTGATTCCAAAAACTTCAGGCCATGAATTTGAAGCGGCCTCGACAAAGTCCCACATATAATATTCCAAGGATGGTGAAGGTGGTAATCATTAGTGCTATTCACCAAATATTCCTGTCTCCCTGTCTTTCGGAAAGATGGCATGAGTGCACTTCTCTACCTTCTTCGAAGTTAGGCACAACCTAGTTACTTGCTTTGGCTAATAACGTGTGAACGGAAGTGATGTGTGTCACACATCACTCCCAGATTGAAGCATCATGAGTCAGTGCAGAATTTGCCACTTTTTCTTCACCCTCCCAAGCAGATCTGTAGAAGTATATCTAGAGTTATATTTACTGTCAACCTGGGTTTTTGATTAAGTATGATGATTGGTGCCTCCTAATGGTTTATGTTAGACTTAGAGCATAAGCAAGAAATAACCTCTTGTGATAAGATTTGGGAAATTTGGGGTTTATGTTAGACTTAGAGCATAAGCAAGAAATAAGATTTGGGAAATTTGAGAGTTGGTCGTTCCTGCTGTAACTGTCACTTTGCCTACCCTAGCTGAAACCATGAACAACTCACAGTCATTCACGACCAAGTACACAAGGAAGCAAGGCACCATGAGTGAGAGCCTGTAGAAACAACAGCATAAACAGACCACAAAGACTCCAGAAACTAAAATGATCAAACACAGATTATAATAAAGTATGTTGCTATCTTTAAAGGAATAAAGGACAAGCTGGAAGTACCTGTAGGTGTGGCCTTTGGAAATACAGCTGACAAAAGAAAGTCGGCCCTGTTTAGACCCCCTTGGGACATTGTGGATGCTGAGAAGTTGAGAGGTAGCTGTCTGATAGTTTCATTTCGTTCCCAAGGTAGAGACGAACCAGAGGCCCCAGAGAAAGGCCACATGGGCTTTCTCATAGCCCTGTGTCTGGGTTCAAAGCAGCCCAGGAAAACCAGTTGGAAGCTGCTTTTCCTTTTATGAACTATCCTCAGAGGTCACATAGTGTCTCTTCCTCTGCAGGTTAGAGCGGAGAGTCTACGTCAATGGCAGGGCTAGCCCTTATAAGAAGAGCGTGGGGATAAGAGAAATTGTTGCACAGTCCTCTTTTCATACAGTCTCTTCTCCCAGGTAACCCTTTCTCTAACTGGTGGGATGCTAATGGCCTATAGTCATTATCCTCTGCCTCTTCCCTCTTCTTTCTGCCCAACAACAAAAAACGATAGGTATCTGGAATCAGCCATTTCCTTAGGTTTGCTAACAACCCATATTGGAACCATACATTACATGTTCGCTCTATGTGAGGCCCCAGAGAAAGGCCACATGGGCTTTCTCATAGCCCTGTGTCTGGGTTCAAAGCAGCCCAGGAAAACCAGTTGGAAGCTGCTTTTCCTTTTATGAACTATCCCTCCCCTGCCCCATAAATAAAAAAACTATTAGAATTATTTATAGGAAGTTGAAGGAGAGAGGAGAGTGGAGAGAAGCCCTCTCAAGTGACCCCGAAGGCAAATTTAATTCAATAGTTCCAGGTTCATTGAAGCCAATGAAGTGTGAGAACCATAAAAGATGGTCCATATTGAATGCACACTCATCTCCATTCCCCAGTTTCCTATAGGCCTGTACTTTATGTTATGTTTGGAACATACATGGCCCCACAAACTCCATTACCTGCCATCTTGGCACTCTCCCTCCATGTGTTAGTCAGGATTCTCCAGAGAAATAGAACCAATAGGATACATACACACACATTTATATATGTGTGTTTGCGTGTGTGTGTGTGTGTGTGTGTGCGCACGCACGCATATATATATTGGATGGAGAGAGAGAGATTCAACTTATTTAATTGGGTATGCAGTTTATGTGAGTTTGAAAGAACTTGTTTCAACCAAGAGGTTTACTTTTTTTACCAGGTCTTCATTTGTTATCAGTCACAATTTAACTAGAGAGGGACAAAAATTTTTTTAGACACATCCTGACTTTCTCAGTTAAAATCTCAAACTGTCTAGAATGTATGTCTTACTTTGTCATTTTTGATCAGCTTTATGTCTGGCAACGAGGGCCAGGTCACTGGGCAGCACTGTGACATAGGCATAAAAAGCAACATTCTGGGTCTACGCTTAAGTGCCTCTTAAGAACTGAAAAAACTCTTGGCAAGAATTCAACCTTTGTATAGTCAAACTACTTTAGTTCTTGATTTACTTTCTGTTTTATATTGCGCTTCATTCGAAAGTTCCACTCCATACCCCGTTCTTGTCACCAAAATTCTTTTACAGCGAAGTTTCGTGTCTAATCCTGTGAGTGTCATGGTTGTTAAGGTAGGGATGACATACTGCCTTCAAAGAAAACAGTGCCAATGTTAAGAGGAGGGGGAATTACTCCCTTCTCATTAGAGAAAGACAATCGTGCATCCAAGTGCATCTCCTCTAATGAGCAAAAGCATTTTGTGCTGTGTGACATTATTCCAGCAACCTCTCTGTGATTCATTTCTTCATCTGCCCTAAATGGGTTATTAATTTCAGGCAGGGAGATTATTAATTATTTGTCGAGCACCTATTATGTGCCTCCTATGTGTCTACCACAAAAAGCACCATAAAGATCAGTTCAGAAATGTAAAATAATCTTCAAAGTTATTTAAACTAGGACTTGAGAGTCAATACAGCAAAGACAATGGCCTGGATGGAGCCCAAGGGCCAGATTTTGAGCAGGCTACATGGTTGTCTCAAGGCTGCCATATGTAGTTTTAAGAGTTGTGCCAGGCACAAAAGCACCCAGCTGGGGAGTTGCATAGAAGCTGAGAACCAGCTTATGTGCTGCTTGCCAAACTAGGCATCTGTGGGCTATGTCCATCCCAAAAGGGAGCCTTTCTCTAACTCACCAATGGCACACATACCGGGGACAGAACATTTGCCCATGACCCAGACGACACTGTAGGGAGATGAGAGAATTAGAGAGAGGAATGAGGCACAGGGGGCAGAGCAGAGGATCTCTGTGAATCTGGGGTTCCAGGGAAGTGACCTTCAGGCGTTTGCTTTGTTCTGACAGCCCTGAACAACCTTGAGAGACGGGACGATGGCATCCACTTCGTGCTTCAGACACACAATTTCACACAATGTGGATATCGTAGGTGAACTTGCATGTCAAAAAATTGTATGTGTATAAATCTCATTCTCTTCCCTCATTGTGAAAAGGATCTTTGTAACCAAAACAAAACTGTCTTGCTTTCGATTCTTTAATCATACATGAGATGTTCCAAAGAATTTCCATGCACAACTTTATATCAGGTTGAAATGTCATATCCCGATTTATACAGAGAGCAATGGGTTATGGAAGTAGAGGGCCGCAATATATTTACTTATTTTTGTGCATTTTATAATATGTCCATATACTGCAATTATAAAATATGCATATTGTAAAATATACACTGTATGTGACTAATAAATAATTTTAAATGAATAATCTATGAGAAAAACTTCTAAAATTATATTTATTTCTATGATTAAGTGGGTATAAAAATTTGTCCTCCCAAAATATCATGATTCAATTATATGAAAGAAAATATCACCATTAATAATATTTTGGTGAGAGGAATGTGAGTGAAAGGAGTCTTTTTTTTTTAACATTTTGGTTTAATGATTGTAAGATACTGACTTGAAAGTCTAGATCTGTGTACAGTCTATTTCTGCATATTTTAATAATTATGAAATTTTTAGGCACCAAAATGGTCACGAATATTGATAGCTATTAAAAAAAAAAAACTCACCAATATGTAGAGATTGGTTTGGAGGAAGATAACCATTGGCTGAGTATATGTTTCCCAGTTCCTTCTAGGTTATAATATTTTCATGTTGCCAAGAGGCACAGCCTTTCTCTTAAGATTCACTGTCTATTTCTGTGGTCCTCTCACATATCCCACTGAAGAGCTTGACAGAAAATGTTTGCAGAGGCTCTCATGTGGGGTTGCCATTTTTTCCCCACCACCTTCTTCCCAAACGTAAAATCTACATCAATAGGTGAGTGATGTGCGCTGGAGACTTTTCCTTTAAGAGAAGGCACAGATCTTCAATTGGATTGAATGCCCCCTTCGCCGGTTACTTTTTATTTATATGAGACACCCAGTTTTGGAACTAATGAATGAAAAGGACAATTCTCACGTTTGTGCCAAAATCAGAGTTTATTAGGAGGTTAACAAGGGATCTCTTATTGCATCTAGAAAGACCAGAAGAGTGACAAGGAAGATTTCATCCAGTTACCTTTAGCTTCATAGCATATGCCCATCAGTGAATCACATTTGATGTAATTATTTTTAAATCACATCTAAATAAGTACTTGTTAAAGTATAACGTATTATGCAAATGTGTCTTTGTGGTAATGGATCTTATTATATCCTGCTGTAGATTTCTCTCTGTGACTCAGAAGACAGACTGAGCCGGTAAACAGATGTTACCATCTCTTGTGCTAAAGGTCCAAGCCAGGGAATTCGGCGGAAGGCTAGAGGTGATTTCTGGTAGCTGGTGCTGGTAAAGGTTTCTTCCTTTGTCCAGAGTGGTCACTGTTAAAGATGTCTGCATGAAGTAGAGTTAAAATGTGACTTTGGAGCTCTCCTCCTGCTCCCAGCACCGGGGCTTCTAGCACACAAAGGTGTTGCAAGGCCCACACCGGGTACGTGGGGCACAAGGATTGGAGACGCAGGGCCCAATGGGCTTGTCACATGCATTGGTTGTGGCACATGGGTTGCAGGGGAGCCTGGAGACAGAAAAACATTGGGATAAGTCAGGGTAAGATGAGCTGAAGGAATAGGAAGACACTAAATGCTCTTCGTTTATATCTTTCTTCTTTTGCTGCCAACCAAAAGCTTAGTATTATAAATTTATTTCCATCAGAAAGACTTTCCTTCCCCACAGCAACCTTATACGCCCCCAAGGAAAACACACTAGCTTCCTACTCACTTGCAGTCCTCACTCTCCAGCAGGCCCCGGTACGTGTTGATCTCACACTCCAGCCGGGCCCGGACGTCCAGCAGCACCTGGTACTCCTGGTTCTGCCGCTCAAGGTCACTCCTGATCTCAGCCAGCTGGGACTCCACGTTGGTGATCATGCACTGCACCTGGGACAGCTGGGAGCTGTAGCGGGCCTCCGTCTCCGTCAGCGTGTTCTCCAGAGAGTCCCTCTGTGTGGGGAAGATCGAGGAAGTCACAGAGCTGCTCCTTTAGTGGGGTTCTCCATAGGGCTCCATGGAAGTCAGAGCTTCAGAGTTAAGGAGAACATGGCCCAAAGGGCATCCCAGTGGCTCTGATGTCCCGACCTCACACTTCTCACCCCGAGGTCTAGACGATACCCACCAGGTTGTGCTGGGCCTGCAGCTCGATCTCCAGGGCGTTGACCGTGCGTCTCAGCTCGATGATCTCTGCCTGGCAGGTCTGCAGCTGCTCCGAACTGGATACCACCTGCTTGTTCAGCCCCTGGGTCTGAAACAGCAAAGGGGAGAGACAGGTCAGACTCTGCCTTGAGGGCCCCAAGGGTCCCGAGTGGCCATGCGCTGAGACGCCCACCTGGGTGGTGTACCATTCCTCCACGTCCCTGCGGTTGGTCTCCACCAGGGCCTCGTACTGACACCTGGTCTCATTGAGCACGCGGTTCAGGTCCACGGTGGGGGCAGCGTCCACCTCCACGTTGAGGCGGTCTCCAATCTGGCAGCGCAGGGTGTTGACTTCCTGATGGAAAATTTAAATTATCTTCACAGTATTTATTGAATTTTAAAGGTTTAAAATTTAAAATAACACAAAGGATCCGGATGCTCTTCTCTAAGAATGCAATTCAGCTTGTGATCATTCTTAAGCTTTCAATGGCTCTGTTCCCTCTGATTGTCTCATTAACCGGGTTCTATATACATGACTAATCTGCGTGTTCCACTTGACCAAGTGCTTTCAAGTCCATGACCTCTTTCTGCCCTCGTATTCAGCGTATCACTCCTCTGAGAAGTGAGATATAATAGACCCATGATTTATACTGTGGGCCTCAAACACCAAGGTCAGTGTTTCTGTGTGTATACCACCTAACCCCTTATGTTTTATTCTGAATCATAATAAAAAAGGATAGAGTCTGGCTAAAGAGGAATTAAAGAATGCTCACTTCAAAATCTGCCATCCTAGGATAGAATAGAATTAAGTGGTGCTTTGTTGATTCTACCAGGATATAGTTTTCTGAAGAAAATAAGTATCTGTTCATTTCACTGCTGATCTCACAGAGCTGGTGTGGCATGGTGCTTGGGCTTAGGTAGAGGTCAGATAGATTTGAATTGGGTCTCATTTCTACCACTTACTATAGGGCTTCTAGAAGCTTCTAGAAGCCTCGGTTTCTTCATCTATAAAATGATAGCTACCTGTAGAGTTCTGACACACAATATGCACTTGATTAAAATTAATTATCACCATTTACATTGTTCTAGGATGTAAGGTTTGCACAAAATATCTGTCTTGTTTATTGCGCAACTGACTAAGCAATGTCAGTGAACATTTTTTCCAGTGTTTTCTTTAGGCAACTCTGAATAGCAGAGCACGCTGGATGAGAAAGAGGAGAGGGGTTTGTTTCCAGCTCAGCCCTCTCTGCTGTGTGTCGGGGGGCCTCTTCCTGGCTCTCCAGTTGCAAACAGAGAATTTGGATAAAAGACCTCTGTGGCCCCATCTGCTCTGACCTGGGAGCAGAAGAAGCTGCCTGGTGGTTGACCTTTCCTCATTACCGGGCTTGCCAATATCCTTCACTCTCATTCCTGCCTCTGACAGAAGAATCCTGATCTCCTATCAGGGGTTTTAGATGACTCATTCTCTGACAAATCCCTTGTCTGAAGAACACATTCCACGGCTAGCTGAGCCTCTCCCGCACCCCATGGGGTTGGACACAGGCCTTGGCAAGTTCAGTCCTTTGGGAACTTTACCTGCTCGTGGTTCTGCTTGAGGCAGAGCAGCTCCTCCTTCAGGGACTCCACCTGGGCCTCCAGGTCGGACTTGCACAGCGTCAGCTCGTCCAGGATCCTGCGCAGGCTGTTTATGTCCGACTCCACCAGCTGCCGCAAGCCCAGCTCCGTCTCGTACCTGTGACACATACGGGAGCATAAGGGACAGGCCTGGCCTTGACTCTGGTTTGGTTTCTCGGACAACTGGCATTTGGGGCTTGTGGCTTTTCCAGCTGTCTCCATTTAGGTTTTCAACACTGATCAGTAGCTTCTACAGGAAAATGCACTGGTAATGATTTTTAATAAATAAAGAACCAGTGGACTTAAGAGGATAAAAGCCCATAAACTGTGAGCTACACTTTTCATATTCTCCTGATTAAATTCTGTGCATAGTAGAGCATCAGGGGACCAGACTCCTGCTCTAGAGTGTGGGATGTCATTTTACCAAGAAGAACCTGAATCTAGTGACGGGATCTCTGAGCTCTGGTGAGCAGTGGCTCTGTGGATCTTAGGGAAAACATCTAGGGAAAAGCTTTGTTGATGTGTGTCAGCGTTGAAGACAGAACAAAGGGAAGGAGAGAACAGGAAGAAGGCAAAACCCCATTTGCCCACTCACTTGGTCCTGAAGTCATCCGCGGCCACCTTGGCGTTGTCAATCTGTACCACCAGCCTGGAATTCTCAGACTTGCTACACAGGATCTGGGAGACCCAAAACATTCTAGAATGAGCTTGGTTATTTTCAGTCAATAGCAATCCCTATAGTTCACTTATATGGAAAAAAAAAATGAAAAAAAAAATCACAGTGGATCTTATATAAGATTATTAAATACTTTCTATGAGCCCAATAAACATTTGAGAAAAATTAAAAGAAAAGCACTAAACTAGGCAGGCAAAATATCAGTAGATAAATAATCATTTTTTTTCTTTCCTAATAAGCAATACTGAGAAACTGATGAACAGCATTTACTCTTAAAAACTTACTATATGTCTGGTGTGGTTATAAGATACGATCGCTACGTAACCTCGGCAACCTTGCCGTTGTGGTGGGGCTGGGTCAGGGAAGCAGCCACGCCCTCCTGGCCATCCCGGTTGCTTTGACACCGTGTCCCAGTAGGTGGTTTCCATTGCTTCTGGTTTTAGCCAACTATCTTATGCCCTCGCTGGACAATGCGCACCAGGGGAAGCCCAGAGGCATCTAGGTCAGGGTAACGATGTCGGGATGATTATACCCACAGGAGGATGGCAACAAGAGGTCACAGTAATCAAAAAAGTCCAAGTGAGGAAGAGAGAAAATGGTCCAATCTTTACAAAAGGTCCCGCTTCCTCAGCTCCCTTCTGGGGCTCAGTCTTTTCTCTCACCTCAGGGTAATAATTCTGAAGCCTGTCAAATACACAGAAGCATTCGGAGGCAGCTTTTAATTACAGCTTATTTATGCAAAGTGCTGCTACCTCCACATATATTAACGCTATGCAAATGTTCACACTTAACAGTCCTGGGCCTAGGATAAGATGAGCCCTCAAGGAAACAACATGGAAAAGCCAGACTCAACCCCTGCATTTCGATCACCCCAAAGTTGTCTTGTTTCTGAATCATATCTGATTCCCTTTCTGTAACTTCCTGCTGGTGGCAGTGTGGTGCCCACCCCTCACCTTCTGCTGGAGCTCCTCGATGGTCCGGAAGTAGGACTGGTAGCTGGAGCACATCAGGGGCTCCTGCTGCTGGCACCGCTCCTGGATGCGGCTCTCCAGCTCCGCATTCTCCCGCTCCAGCTGGCGCACCTTCTCCAGGTAGCTGGCCAGGCGGTCGTTCAGGAACTGCATGGTCTCCTTCTCGCTGCCATTGAAGGAGCCCTCGCAGAACCAACCACAGTTGCCCACGTTGGCAGGGATGTTGCAGGCCCCGGGCAGGGGGATGTTTTGGCAGCTGGTGGCCACGCAGGGCCGGGAGGGGCAGCTGGAGCGACAGCTCAGATTGGGCAGGCAGCAGTTGTAAAGCATGGTGCTGGGAGGAAGCGAGGCACCCGGCTAAAGACAGAGTCTCAGTTCTCCAAGGACCTTGTGGGTCTCCTTCGTCTGGGGAGCATTTATACCCCTTCCGCAGAGGGTGTGGACATGGAAGACAACCCCTTTATTCTTACTTATTTGGTGATTGTCAAAAGCCCTTCCCCTCCATTTGTTAGGTTTCCTCAGAAGAATCCCTCACCTCGTAAAAGACTTTACCCTGGCTTCTCCCTAACTCGGGACTCTTCTTCCATGCCGTGCGTCAGTGAAGCCAGAGCTTCATAGTGCAGCTTCAAAGAGCTGGCCTCATGAACACCCTGGCCTTTATTAGTGGGGTGTGGCTGGTCCAGGGACACTATTGTTCCTTTCCTTCCCAGCTTGACAGCCTTGACGCCCTGGCAAGCCTCTGGCTCTTCTTGCTAAGATAGAAAAGCTTAGCTCTTGCCCGTGTATCTTTTGTTAGGTCAAATTTCCAAAGACCAAATTCCAAATTCATAGTTCTCAGAAAGAGTTAAAATAAAACAGAGTTAAAATAGAAAGTGTTAAAATGGAACAGTTAAAATAGCCTGGTTCCTAGTGGCCCTGTTTCCTGATATTGTGGGCACCATCCGTAGCCATGGTGTCAATCAATTAAATAGCAGATATTCACCAGGATCACAGTTTGTGAGGAATAGAGAGTAGACCAGAGCGGTGGCCAGAAGAAGCTGGCATTTGTTGAGCACCTGCACAGGCCCAAGGTGGTGCTGTACACTTTTCACAAACATGATCTCATTCACTCCTTACCATGACCCTTCAAGCTACATGATATTATTCCCATTTTACAGGTGGGTAAACCAAGGCATAGAGGATAGAAGCTAATATGTTATAAAGCCAGGATGCCAACACCGATCTCTATTCTTTCCCTCATCCCATGCTGCTTCAATAAGTGAACTACCTCATTCCCTAGCTTCTTCAGACCTCAGTAAGTTGGGAAATTCTGCATTAGAGGAATTGGAAGAAGCTCAGTAAGAACAGTGTGAGCCAGAAAATGACATATGAGGGTGGAAGAGAAGCAGATTTTTTCCATCATCCTATCCTGCTTAGATGTAAATGACCTATCTTCTTTCTTAACTTCTGACAAATATCTCTAAGCTCTCATCTCACCTTGAACATAGATGGCATGATCATGACTTATGTGCCCATCTCTCTCCCTAAGAGTTCCTTGAAGGCATGAAGCACCTTTCCATGAAGGACCATCCACATTTCCTTGAGTTTAGGCTTTATGTTAAGGGCAGTGGGGAGCCATTGAAGGTTCTGAAGAGAGGAGTAATATAGCTTTATTCTTGATAAGCTGACTTTGAAGGAATAGGGAAATGTTCAGAAGAATGCTGACTAGAATTCGTGACAGGTATAATCTTAGTGCAAATGCAAGAGTTGGAGAAATGAGCCAAAGGAGAGTGTACAACGAGAAGAACAACACGGGGCCGAAGACCAAACTTTGGAAGATTTCCCAACCAGAGAGCAGGAAAAAGAAAAAGAATCAAGGAGAAATGGAGAAACAGCAAGAGGAAATGAAGAAAGTCAGTTCATGTAGTGACAGAGATAGAGGGGAGAGAGCTTCAAAGTGGACAGGGAGGTCAAAACTGTCAAGTGCTACAAAGGGGCCCTGTGAGATCAGAACCGTGGAAAAGGTCTTGGATATGTTGACCGGCAAGTTGCCAGGACCCTTCCAGAGTCACAAAGCTGTGCCTATTATATACTGCACCTGTGCTCTTAAAGTAACACCCACATTGGTAAACTGAGACTTTAAACGCGCTGAGCTGAACTGTTCAGTATTTAGAGAAGTGCTGCCACAGTCAGCTCGGATACCTGATTATAAAGCTTGTGAGTTTGGGTCTTACCAAAACAGACTTTCTTACAATAATTAGAGTGTGCTTTAAGCAGTTTAAAGACGTCAAGTGTGTTTAGATCCGACAATTCATAATAGTTGGTGATTTAGGAACAATTACCTAAGAAGCATAAGCACTTGGAACTGTCCATGCATATAACTCTACTTCTGTTTTGTTGCAAGGCATAGGATGAGACTTATTTGATAGCCTGAAGAGAAGAGATGATGAAAGAACTCAGCTGTGTGCCTAGATAAATTGCCTGGGGAGGAGAAAGGCTCCTTACTATCGTCCAAGCAAAGGACAGAGAAGAACTCAGAGAATGGTGCTCACAGCAGCGTTCAGGCCTCTCAGCCATAGCTGCAGATAGAAAACCAAACTGCTTTGCATTTGACTCTTCCTTTCCTCCCTTCCACCTCTTGAGATAGATCCCAAATGTCAAAATAGTCAAAAGAGAGAGGGAAAATCTTGGAACAAGAGTGATGTCAGGAATCTTAATGATCATTGCATCCAACTGTCTCCTTTGACAAATGGGGAAACCGAGGCTCAGAATGGAGAAATGGCTTTCTTAAGCTGTTATACTTAGAACCCAAATCTGATGATTCTCACTGCATTCACAGCCCCCATCACCGTGATGAATAATTTCACAACCAATCTAATCTGCCATAAATTAGGAGCAGAAATTAAAGGCAATGAGACAAAAAAAAAACCCAACACAAAAAAACAAAATCTTGTTATCCAAGGGTATGGTCTATTGAGGAAGAATGAAGGGTAAATGTGGAAATAATGATAGATTTCAGCAATACTGAAGTGGTTTGTTGTCTCCCTGACTTCAATTGTTATTTCTATATTGATGATACAATTATATCTCAACACTTTGAAGCAACTTACATAATACAATTATATCCCATCAGATATAGAATTATATCCCATCATTTGGAGAAACTTAGAACCACAAATGTTCAAGTAATGGTGACCCTACTCAAGAACAATCCACTTACCCAAAATAAGGTACAAAATTATAGTCATAACAAAATTAAAAGCAGTATGATTTTAACAATGAAGACAAACTGAGAGATAAAAAAAGAACCACACTACAATAATGACACTGGATGCTTTTAAATGGTAGGATTATGAATGAATGCTTTTTTTTTTTCTTCTCTGTACTTTTTTTCTTCTCCAAATTTTTTGAAGACATATATATTCTGCACAGGAAAAAAATAACATTGACATTAAAGATTCCAAAAGGAAATTCTTATAAATCTTCTAAAGACTTAAAGAGTTGTAAATAAAAAAACGGTAAGGCTTCTAGTCCAACGTAATTATTAAATTGCACTTGAACTTGTTATTCTGGAAACAATGCCTTTGTCATGATTGGCATTCACACCCTTGTGATAACTGCTGACTTTGCCAGTTCCAAAGAGAAGCTATTAGGAAGTGATGAAGGGAAACCAAGCTTCCTATGGGATCAAACGACCTGTAGCTCATGAATTGACTGAGGTATAGGTCTGAGCTTCAGGTGAAGAGAATGACAAGGGGAGCAAGCCTTGCAGAAATGTTCTGCCGATTGACTGCCAGCCCACCATCCCAGAAGATTGGGAGTTAGGATCACCTCACTGAGCCACATTATTAGGGTGGATTTCTCACACATAGGTATTATGATGAAATTTCTTTTCTGGAAATACTGTCAAAGTCAGATGAAGTCTAGGATCTTAGAATGTTGGAGCTACTAAGGACCTAGGTAGTCATCTGACCCAACTCCTTCACTGTGCAAATAGGAAAATGTGGACCCAGATGGGGAAGTGACTTGCCCAAAGCTCACACGGAGAGTTTGTGAAAGAGTCTAAATTGGAAAAGAGTCAATTAGAGAAATGAGGGACAGGAGATAAAGCTTTTGGTCTGTATGAAAGAGTTGGAACTTAGACCACTGAAAAAAGTCACATCTCTCAAAACTCTGTACCCTTCATGAAAAGGTGAGCAAAAAAAAAAAAAAAAAAAACTGTGTTTATTGTCACAGAAAGGTTTTTTAAAAAAAGAAAAAGCTGAATTTTCTCTTACTGGCTTCTAAATTTACAACATGCTATGTAAAAGAAGCCAGTCACAAAATACGACGTATTACATGATTCCATTCATATACAATGTCCAGAATAGACAAATCTATAGAGATTATAGTGATTGCTTATACCTGGAGGGTGGGAGGCAAATTAGGTACAAGATTTTTTGGAGCAGGGGAGGAGGAGTGATGAAATGTTCTAAAATTGTGGTAAAGTTTACATAACTCTATCAGTATATTTAAAAATCATTGGATTATGTAATTTATATAGGTGAATTTTATAGAATATGAATTATATATTATAGCCTAAATTATATTTCAATACAGCTATTTTTTAAAAAAAGAATTCGGAAGGAGAAAATAGAATAGGACAGAAGTAATATTCAAAAAATATAATGGCTGAGAATTTTCCACGGATGGTGTAAACATGGATCAGTTCTATTTCAATACAGCTATTTTTTTAAAAAGAATTCAGAAGGAGAAAATAGAATAGGACAGAAGCAATATTCAAAAAATATAATGGCTGAGAATTTTCCATGGGTGGTGTAAAGATGAATCAGAAGCACCTCAGTCCTAAGTAGGAAAACAAAACCAGACCCACCTCTACACATAATGCAGTGAAGCTACACAATGCTAGAGACAAAGAGACGATCTTAGAAACAGTCTAAGAGAGGGAGTTAAAAAAAGGATTACCATCAACAGAATCATAGTTAGATTGGCAATAGGCTTTTCAGCATTGATGGCAAAACCCAAAAGACAGTGGTGTTTGGGAGGCACCTGTTCCTGACAAGGGCAGCTGCAGGTGACTATTGGTGAACAGTGGTTCCCGCACATCTGGAGAACTGATGAGATGGATTGGACAAGGGTATTTGTACAAGGCATGGAAGTGGTTCCTGGGAATGAACTCCTCCTGAAGGAAGAGAGGCTGGAATGCACTAGCTGGGTCTGGGACATTCTGCATACAGCATTGGAGTGTCACTCAGTCATCTTCCAGGGTCTCATGCCTAAGGTGTGGATAAGGGAGCTCTAACATCAACAGTAAGGGAGTATATATTCAGAGAACTAGAGTATGAGAGAACACAAATTTAAGACCGACATTGGAGCAGGCATCATCACAGCAAGGGGTGATGGTGTCAGCTTCATCTCAAAGAAAGAAGATATAACCAGCAGTTTGGACACAGACTGGGACAGTGACCTTGCACAGACCACAGCATGCACAGCTATGGGAGCCATTAACCTTGGCCAGACATCAGTGGACACCAGGAGGAGTAGGGCACGAGCATAACGGTCACTTTTAACATTGGCAAAGACTTAATATCCTAGTTTGATTCTAAAGAATATTTTTTGGTCCCCAAATCCAAATTCAGTCCCAGTGTTTAAAAAGTTCCAATGAGAAGAGAACCATTTGAGAAAAAAAATCTGTTGGATATTACTCTAATGCAAGAAATGGCCCTTTCTGTTATTATGAATTCTTTAGTGTTTTCCAAAGAAGAGTTTGAGACCTTTGAGGTACGAATAGCATCATCTCTCACAAGGTGACAATTTTGAAGGAAATATAAGCTTTGGGTGCTTGTTTGAAATCAGTTTTATTCTCTCATAGGCACAACTGACATTCAAAGAGTGAGCTATGGATTCAGTCCCATCATTGCTACTTATGATGCAAATAAGGGAAAAAATTAGTTGTGTAGTTTCTAGTACTTGGTTGTTGTTCAATTAATGTTAGTCCCTGTCCTTCTTGTAGGCACTTGGAAAAGAAAAAGTGGAACTTTCTAGAAATGGTAACCGTTGTATTTTACTGAGGTCCCATAATGAATGCATTTACCATATTCAGATGAGGCTTCTTGCCTTATAGGTCCCACTGGTTCCTTGCTGGCCTGAGTGAATGCTGGCGCTCATTGTGCTTAATGAATGTTAATTAATGGTGACGAATATCTTTTAGAAGATTACACAGTCTGCCTATGCTTTCAAGTGGCTTTATAAGAAGCATATACACGCAGAGCAGACACTTGGGAAAGAATGAATACAAATCATCTCTGCTTTGCAAGAGGAAAGTTTATTAGAAGATGTGTAAAGGGATTTGGGGAACTGCGAGAAAGGTCAAACAAAGCGACAGAGAGAACCACAAAACATCTCGGTTGACACCTGCATGGCCCCAACCTGTCAGACTGTCGGGTCACAGAATAACGACAGGAGAGGGGCCTTGAATGAAGAGGATAAGGCGGGTCTGGCCTCAGAGTCAAGCCACACCTGGGCGTTTGCTATTCTTCCAGACGATGATTTATAGTGATGCCTGAGTGGGAGTCCTGTGGTGATTGTTGTCAGAGAAGCAAGGCTGGTCCATTGGTGGTCCTTCTGTCCTCATGCAATCCTCCTGCTGGCCCTAGGACATCTAGCACCCAATGGTGCTGCAGGGCCCACAGCGGGTTCGGGGGCCACAAGGGGCACAGGGATTGGTGACACAGGGCCCTATGGGCTTGTCACAGGCATTGGTCGTGGCGCAGGGGTTGCAGGGCAGCCTAGGACATAGAATCATAAACTTGTCAGCATGCGAGAGATAATAATAAAAAAATAAAGCAGGGGACTCAACCCAAGGAGACATGGGAACAAGTGGAATTTATTCTCTGACGTCTCAGGAAGCCAAGCCTGTTCCACCTGCCCCTTCTACAAAGTCAGAGATGGGACGGAAAAGACGGAAGACTCAAGGTGCAATCCCAGGCCTTCCTCTGTAACTCTGCAGTTGTGAGGAAGCCAGTTTATCCCCCTAAGCCTCAGCTTCCCGCATAAAACAGGGTATAGGTAAGACCTACCATACGAAATTGTGAAAAGTCCACAAGACTGTATTCATAAAAATATTGTTCGGTGACAAGTGCTGGACCCTATGAGTTATTGACTCATCTTTCCGTGTGAGGTTCAAATGCTCATCTATATGATGGTTATACTATCCCCACTCTGCTTGTCTCTCGTGAATTCAATTAGGATCCATGAAACAATGGATTTGAGTATTTGGGTTACACCTGAAAACACTATTCAATATACATGATGGTTGTTACAGTTTTGTTATCTCTTTTGCTGTGACAGCCAACCCTGAAGGTGCAAAGCTTTATTTACCCATCAGCATTCAAACACTCACCGGTGGGGAAAACAGTCGAATCTCTAAAGTATCTTTTGGGCCAGAAAATACTTGTAGGTAACAACAAATACCCTCTACTTCTCACTGCTGTAATATAAAACTCTGGTCTCTACAGACATATTGGCATCTGAAATTTGACCTGCAAAGTCCCTATTTAATCCTTTGGTGAATGTTTCTTGCAAGGGAGATGCCTGACAGGTACTCACTTGCAGTCCTCACTCTCCAGCAGGCCCCGGTACGTGTTGATCTCACACTCCAGCCGGGCCCGGACGTCCAGCAGCACCTGGTACTCCTGGTTCTGCCGCTCAAGGTCACTCCTGATCTCAGCCAGCTGGGACTCCACGTTGGTGATCATGCACTGCACCTGGGACAGCTGGGAGCTGTAGCGGGCCTCCGTCTCCGTCAGCGTGTTCTCCAGAGAGTCCCTCTGTGTGGGGAAGATCGAGGAAGTCACAGAGCTGCTCCTTTAGTGGGGTTCTCCATAGGGCTCCATGGAAGTCAGAGCTTCAGAGTTAAGGAGAACATGGTCCAAAGGGCATCCCAGTGGCTCTGATGTCCCGACCTCACACTTCTCACCCCGAGGTCTAGACGATACCCACCAGGTTGTGCTGGGCCTGCAGCTCGATCTCCAGGGCGTTGACCGTGCGTCTCAGCTCGATGATCTCTGCCTGGCAGGTGTTCAGCCCCTGGGTCTGAAACAGCAAAGGGGAGAGACAGGTCAGACCCTGCCTTGAGGGCCCCAAGGGTCCCGAGTGGCCATGCGCTGAGACGCCCACCTGGGTGGTGTACCATTCCTCCACGTCCCTGCGGTTGGTCTCCACCAGGGCCTCGTACTGACACCTGGTCTCATTGAGCACGCGGTTCAGGTCCACGGTGGGGGCAGCGTCCACCTCCACGTTGAGGCGGTCTCCAATCTGGCAGCGCAGGGTGTTGACTTCCTGATGGAGGAAAGGGAAGGAATGAACCCACAGAACAAGTCTGTAAATACACTCTCTTTGAGGGAGTCCAATTAGTGCGAAGAGTATTGTACTGAAATTTAGGATTCATGAGTTGAAGACCAGTTGTTGTAAAACCCAGCTAAGTTAACTCTTGTGATTCAGGCCCCCTATCTGAGTCTCCTCATGTGTACCCGGAGGCCTCTTGATTAAATAATTGCTAATGTTTCTTCCCACTCCAAGATTCTGTCATCTCTTTCTGATTTTCTCTTTGCTCAATTGGTAAGCCTGACATGATAACTGGTTTATACTTATTGCTACTTAAATATAGAGAAACCAGATTTAACTCCTCTCATGTATTTCATGTCTTCTACCATCATCTGTCTATTAGGAGATATTTCCTCTTCATCAAAACACCTAATGTTTGAGACACGCGTCTGATTTCCTAGTATTACATTCAATCACGACATCTGAATCAACCATTATATGAGTTCCTTCATTTCTCCCATTTTCCCCATCCATCCATCCACCCACCCACCCATTTATTCAGCTTGGGTTCTAACATCTAGATGACATATAACACAAAGAAGTTTGTTATCTCCTTCCAGTCTTAGTCATTCATTGGGCATCTATTGAGAAGATAATAGATTTTTATCAAATAGTAGAAAGTATGTTAAACATCATTGTGTGGACTTTTGGTCACAGATCTGGCCCTAAGTGGAAAAAAGTCAGCTGACTACACTCTTGTAGGTAAAAACATGGAGGCCTGTGACTCATGGCCCCAAGTATGTTTTGAGCAAACAGCAAAATGTTATATTAGCTCTAAGGTGCTTAGCAAAGACCTACCTCATCCTGCTCAGGGGAGTTATGGAACTCTCAATATTGGGGTGTTGGGGACTAGGACTCCCTTACCTGCTCATGGTTCTGCTTGAGACAGAGCAGCTCCTCCTTCAGGGACTCCACCTGGGCCTCCAGGTCGGACTTGCACAGGGTCAGCTCGTCCAGGATCCTGCGCAGGCTGTTTATGTCCGACTCCACCAGCTGCCGCAAGCCCAGCTCCGTCTCGTACCTTCACATACAGCCAGAGGTCAAAGGAGATCAGAGAGGAAGAATTTTTCCCAGGCTTGACTTACTTGGCTGACCTCATCATCCAAGTAAAATTGAATATAATTGGACATAATTCATTATATTTTGAATATTTTCAAAGTTTATGAAAGAGAAAAAATTATCACCGGGCTAAGTAAAAGGACCCATTTCTTCCCTGAGACCCACAGAGAGGGTGTTGTTGGGGGCCTATGCCCAGTTCTCATCTAATAGTAATTGCATTTGTTCTCAGAATCCCATTCACAGGTTGCCATCAACTAAGTCCTGTCATCTTGCTTTCTTAAGTGAGTCGGTAAGCTCCATTAGCCTGCCATATGGGTTGTCTCGCTGTCCTTTCCAACCACCCTGAGAAGCCATCTGGCGTTGTAAGAGAAGCACTGAGTTAGAAGTCAGTTGGATAAGTCCCTTAACCTCTCTGAGGCTTGATTCCCTAGTTTGTAAAATGGGAACCACACTAACACTTCATCGGGGTGGCCTGAAGATGAAGAAATGACCAAGTAAAGTTACATCGTCAATTGTAAAGTCCCATAAAAATGCAAAGGATTCTTGTGATTGTAATGATCACACCCAGAAAAATCGATTGATTCTCTGAAATATTTTGCCTCCTATTTTTGAGGTTTAATAATTTTTCTGACGGGCTAATACTGACTACCCTATACCTAAAAAACTGATTTGAAATTCACTTTTCAATTTGATCCAGACATTAACTTGAAAAAGAGAAAGAATGGGTGGTTTCTTGCGCTCCTCCAAACTAAACTTAAAATACGGAATTTTGGCATTCAGGGAGGACACGAACTGAAATTTAATCCAACTAAATCAACGCCGGAATCCTCCCAATAGCATTCGGATAGCTTCTGCTGGCATGCTCCCAAGACAGAGGCCATGACTTTGCAATGTAGCCTCTCCCTTACTAAACAGCTCTCATCATTTAAAAAATCTTACTTGGTTCTGAAGTCGTCAGCAGCCAACTTGGCGTTGTCAATCTGCACCACCAGCCTGGCATTCTCCGCCTTGCTGCATAGGATCTGGAGACAGGATTAACTGTAAAGTGAGTTATACTGGGAAGGAATGCTTGTGCCTTAACATGAAAAGGTGTTTTGTTTTTTGTTTTTTGTTTTTAAGTCACATTTCTACCAAATAGTTTCGAGTCTTCTCAGATTTCAGTTTGGGGATAAAAGGAAGATTAATAGAACTGAATGTTTCAAAACCAAAACAGTCAAGAGAAATGTGCCCTCTGCCATGAAGTCTTCTCTTCCTGGTAAGTCTCTAGCTTCCTGTAGGAATCGAATATACTGGGTGCCAAGCCTCACACAGGGGGACCAGCATCCCAGTTTTCTTAGGACTAGGGGATTCCTGGGATGCTGAACCTAGAAAAGTCCCACACAAACCAGGACAAGTTGGTTGTCCTACCCATATACTTGCTTATTCTGACCCCGCTGACCTATCTGCACTCTCTTGTCATGTTGCTCTGAACAAGACTTTTGCACAAAGCTTCTCCCTCTACCTTGATTGCCCTGGAATGCCCTCACCCACCTAGAAAGACCCTGTGCATAACCCACATTCCCCTTCCTTCCCCGACTCCTTCTTCCATGTGTTCTCACAGTACTTTGCCCTTAGATAGTTAATGCTTCTTATCACCTTCACTGTGGTCATTCATTTCCATATCTCTCTCCACTATTAGACTCTGAGATCCTGAAGGAAAGAGACCATCTTACTTGGTACTTCATCCTTTATTCCAGCACTGAGTGTGGGTAAATAAATGCATGCTCTTCAAATCATATGGCCCTTTTCTGGCTTTCACTCTGCCAGAACTACAAAACAATGGACAATCCCCTCTGACAGTCAAAGGCTTGTGCAATTAGTATAAACTCCTGCTTATCCTTCAAATCCTGCTCAGATAGTGCCTCTTCCAGGAAGCCCTCCCTGATTTATACCGTGTATTAAATCCCACCTCTATGCTGGCTCTTTAGTTATCCTCACTTCTACTCCTGCATTTCTGGCCCTGAATAAATCACCTATGTGCATGTCTGCCCTAGTGGTGGACGGTACAGTGTCTGCGTGTATTAGTAAGGTTTCCAGAAGTCAATGGCTCTTTTGC